CAGCAACTAAAGAACATAGGCTATTTATTTTTAACATTGTTCTGTGTATATCATTTTAATTTCTTGAATTTCAAACGAATGACCACTGATTTTCGTATAATTTTTGTAGTATTTCAAATGAATGTACCCACGTTGTCTTCTAATCGGATTAAAATCTGGCCGAATTTTGGCCGATATCGAAAAAAGGTTTGGCCGAATTTGGCCGTGAGATGGCGTGTGTTTGGCCGTGAATCCTGTCGACTATCTGGCAACCCTGGACAAGACGGGAAAAACCAACAAATCAAAATCAAGATACATCGATTTTTAACGGAATTCGGATAATTACCGTACTAAAAGTTGGTTTCTATTGATTATTAAGTAGTTTTCTACTCTCGTGTGGTAATATTTTTATCATTTTTGCACCCGTGTGGTCGCGAGTGGTCCCGTGTGGTCGCGAGTGGTCCCGTGTGGTATTTAGTAGGACCTGTGCGCTACTGCTGCTGGGTAGACACTGACTGTGCTAATCCATGGAGTTATAATCATTTTGAGGCTAATCCTAGGCATAGGTGTAGGCCTAATTATAAACAAACAAGTCAAGTCATCGGACTGATATACGTTTATTAATTCAATTAAATTATTCCTCCATGATTGAATTGACGTTGACTAAACCGTCTCTCTGTAACTGCGTACGTAAACGATCACAAAAACTCTTGACTTCACACTAGTGTACTGTATCTAGGCTGTCGCTCAATCGTCGGGACGATTTTTCGATCAGCTGCTCGCCAAAAATTAATTGACAGACTTGTCTTGAATATTAATTAGTTGGTTAGAAAATGTTTTGTTTCTGTAATTATCCTTACATCTCAACATTTTGAATTTTTTTATGTATTTTTCCCGAACTCAGGAAAGGTTAAATAAGCAATATATGGCCACTTGTCTCATCCCCGCACCCCCCCCCCCTTTAAACATGATTTTTTTTTAATGAGCTAGCTTCAAAAATTGTACAAAGTTTTATATTTGTGATGATCTTAATTACACTAAAAATAATTGGTATATTATAAGTACATTATGCTTTTTTCCATAACGCAAAAATAGAAGTTGGTGTATGGATCTTTAAATGCACATAACAATACTAAGTAGAGAAGTTGAGTGCAAATAATAATAATTACAATCCGTTTTTATGCATGGTCTACAATTCAGTCTCTGAGTGCATTTGCTTTTACAACCAATGCAAAATATAAAATTATAACAATCACATTTCACATAGTTTAAAAATGCGTATTAATAAACTGAGTGAAATATCCACAAAATATAATTTTCTATTTAAAATATAAATATATACAATTCACAGTGTCTTCCCTCATGAAAATGTGGCAACTACATCTTGTAAGTATTCTTATCTGCAGTGTGCCCATTACAGTACAGTCAGTTTTTTATCAATTTATTATTACTCAGATCGAAACCATGCTCATAGAATCAACCAAATTTTTAAGCAATTCATTTTTTATATCGATATTTTTTAAAAAAAGCTTTGCGCTTCTGCGTTTTTTTTTTTTTAATAACATGAGATATATGGTTGTATCGTTTGAGTAGTGTTCTTGAGACTCAGGTTTGAGACTTTCACTTGTTTTTGATTGTATATTGTCCTGCTTTCTTCATCTACATATTCAATATAGGCCTATCTAATATTCCTATGCTTTTATTGTTTAGTTTTTCAGGCCTATAACAAGTTGGTGGTCCTGGGTCCTGGACTTGAGTATTTTAGGGCTGGGCTAGCAAAAAATACATTAAATCTAGACCAATATTCAATAGCTGATATTAAGGGCTAGCTATCTTTTTTTCCTTAAATTTTCAGTTACTGTGGTGGCAGGTGCTATAACCTTTGGTTTCATTCCATTTCTCGAGTGCATTTTGTGTTTTGTATTATGCACTCTATAAGACAAACATTATTATTATTAAAATAAATTTTATTTTTATTTCAAATCGCCATCGCTAAACAAGTAAAAAATTTATCGTCAAGGCTTTGTTGCCACCATATTGTGCCAGACTTCAAACTGTGGAACAGCCATGATTGAAAAAGGGGAATCCCCAAATCCGTCTTTGCTTATTAATTATTGACTCTGTATTATACCTTGTTACATAGATTCTAGGGATCAACTCAGAAATATGTAAACATTAACAAATCCATTGTAGGTTTTTTCCATTGTCAAATTATTGACAATTCAATCTTTTCCATTTCTACTATAATAGTCGCTACTGATTCAGTTTCAACGAATTACCACCAACGCTAGTCGTTAAAATGAGCGCACATATTTACGATGACGAAACAAAAAATGTGGAAGTCATCAACTTATTTGACATTCGAAGCCAGATTTTCGCGAAGTACATGTAAACAACACATTAATCCAGCGATCTTAACACTTAAAAACTGCAAAAAAAAAAAAAAAAGCATGACAGAAAGGTCCAAAGTATGCAGACGTTTTAATGAGAAATAAAACAATATTTTGTTAAATGGGAGAATGCCAGCGTAAAAATAATTTGGTTTTTATCGAAGGTAAATTTAGCTAGGGCCTAGTATATAGCCTACTACTATTGCGGTAGACCACGCTGCTGCACTGTTGGTTTGTACGTACAACCTGATGGTCGCCTATTATATCAATGGCAGAGGATAGCTAGGCTAGGTAGTAAAAACTGACACTTGATCTACAGTAGTTTACGAATTTTTCGATTTTTTTTTACGAATACCCCTTGGTACTAGATGTCCGTAAAATACAGTAGACGTTATTTTAAAACAAGCCTTTCCACCGTGTGACGTTTGACGGCAGCGAAGCTGGCTGGTTGTTTATCTGGCTCTAACTTGGCATCAAACACAACTAGGGATAAATCATATCATATTTCAAGATTTAGTTAAAGTGGCTTAACTTCGACGTGAACCAGGCAATAACCAACATGCAAGTTCACTGAAAGTAGTACCTGTTCCACTGTAAAGCAGTCTTCAGTAATGGGTCATAACATGTCAAACACTAATTCAACTTCACCCAACCAGTCGGGAATAAAACTGTAAGGGATTTGCACACCTAATGCCACAACTGATGTTTAAAAAAGATGATTTATTGTTGTTAAAATTAACAAATTACATTGTATTTGTAAGTTAACTTCTGAACCACTCAAAGGCGAATACCATAATGAAAAGAGCATGTTGTGATTTATGGTATCAAAAAGCCTTATCGAAAGTCCAGAAATATCCCAAGAACATGCTTTTTCTTATCTAGATCAGAAATTATATTATAAGCTTGTAAAACAGCT